GACAGAGCTGTTTCCCTGATGGTGCCTCACCTGTTACTTAGGACCTTCACCCTTTCCCTGGATTCCTCCCCAGCCTGGCCCTTCTCGCCGTCTGCCCACTCACCTCCAATGCCCAGAGGACGGTGGCCCGGTGGGGCTTCATGGACCCAAGCCTCCTGCACATCCTCACAGGGCTGGAGTCTCAGCCTCTCCTCCTGGGAGATCTCCACATTTTACAGACAAGCTCCAACCATATCTGCAAAGTGACCTCCTCCTCCCACACCAGATCACCCAAGCACAGTCTCCATCCTGCTCCACTGCACCAGCCTGTGGGCTCACCCATCCCCCACTTGGTTTTCAGTGGTCCCTGGCCGTCCCAACCATGTGTTTGCTCCAGGAGCCACACTGACACTCAGTTTCCTTGGAACCCATGGCCACAGACACCCTATGACAACAGGTGACTCGGCAAGTTCAGGCAGTTCTTCTGGGCTGCACCTCCCACTTGGTGCTCCAAGGGATGTTCCGTCCTGCTGGCTTGGGTCTGCCTCCCCTTCCTCCTGTCCTCCAGGGTGGAAGCTCATCTGTACCATCTGCTTGGTGTCTCCCAGGTATTGAAAAAAACCAGGGGCTCTGTACCCTGAGTACCCCATACTCACCATGGCCATGGCCAGGGAAGCACCCCAGGAGCCCAGGATCAGACATGGAAGAGAGGGCAGCAGGAGGTGGAGAAGAGGTCATGGGACACAGCGAAGTGGTGGCACAGGTGTCAAGAAGAATGAAAAATAAAGTTTGTAGAGTCAGCGGGGGCACAGCAAGTAGTCTGCTAGCAAATGTGTGACTGGAAGCCAATACGAAGAGAGAAAACAGGGCAGAAACAAGTAAAGCAAAAATCTCCAGAATGTTCTAAGACTGATGAATAATATCAACCCACAGATTCAAGAAGCTCTGTGAACTCCAGGCTGTTTTAAAGGTTTACACAGAGGGGCAACAGTTGGTTAAGCGTCTGACTCTTGATTTCAGCTCAGGTCATGATTTCACAGTTCGTGAGTTCGAGCCCCACATCAGGCTCTGTGCTGCCAGCACAAAGCCTGCTTGGGATTCTCTCTCTCCCTCTCTGCCCCTCCTCTGTAGTCACTCACTTTCTCTCTCTCTCTCTCTCAAAATAAAATAAAATAAAGATAAAAAATAAAAATTAAAAGTTTGCAGGGCACCTAGGTGGCTCAGTCAGTTAAGCATTCACCTTCGGCTCAGGTCATGATCTCACAGTCCGTGGGTTTGAGCCCCACCTCGGACTCTGTGCCAACAGTTCAGAGCCTGGATCCTGCTTTGAATTCTGTGTCTCCCTCTCTCTCTGCCCCTCCCCCGCTCACACACTGTCTCTCACAAATACATAAACATTAAAAAAAATTAAAAATACAATAAAATTGGGGTGCCTGGGTGGCTCAGTTGGTTAAGCGGCCGACTTCGGCTCAGGTCACAATCTCGCGGTCCGTGAGTTCGAGCCCCGCGTCGGGCTCTGGGCTGATGGCTCGGAGCCTGGAGCCTGGAGCCTGTTTCGGATTCTGTGTCTCCCTCTCTCTGACCCTGCCCCATTCATGCTCTGTCTCTCTCTGTCTCAAAAACAAATTTAAAAAAACGTTAAAAAAAAAATACAATAAAATAAAAAGTTTACACAGAAACAATGTGATAAAAATGCTGAAGACCGAAGCCGCGGAGCAAGTGTTAAAAGCAGGAGGAAGGTGGGTTTGGTGGCAGAGCCACCAGCCAGGAAAGGGAAGGGCACCAGGGCCCTCACACCCACCACCGTCTTTCCCTCCCCAGAGAGCAGCAGGGTGGGCTGCTGTCCCAGTGGGTATCCAACCAAGAAGGGTCAAGGGTCCTGAGGAGCTGGTGGAATTTACCTCGCTGGGTTTTAACCCTTTTGTTCCTCCAAGTTCTCCTCTGGAACGCAGTGTCTACAATGTGCCTGTCCCGTCGCCGTTCCAGAATCCTGCCCCAAGGTCTGGCGTAGAGGTGGCTTTGGAGCAGGTGCTGGAATAGGTTGAGACTCTGGGGCTGTTGGGGTGGAATAAATGTATTTTGCATACCAAAAGGACCTGAATTTTGGGGGCCAGGAGGCAGGATGCTATGATCTGAACTGTGTCCTCCAAATTCCGTATGTTGAAGCCTGTCTGCTCCAGCTGCCATAACAGAAGATCACAGACTGGGTGGCTAAGGTCATTTCTCATGGTTCTGGAGGCTGGGAGTCCAACACCAAGGTGACGGCATGGTGTCTGGTGAGAGCCTGTTCCGGTTTCCAAATGGCCTTCCCACTGTGCCCTCACTTGGAGCAAGGGACCAGGTGCTTTCTGGGGTCTCTTTTATGAGGGCACTAATCCCACTCATGCAGTCTTCATCCTCATGACCTAATCACCCCCAAAAGGCCCCAGCTTCTAACACCGTTGCATTAGGGGATTAGATTTCAACACGGGAACTTTGGAGGGACACCAACACTCAGTACATATCAAAGCCCTAACCCCCAATGTATCTGTATTTGGAGACGGGGGCTTTAAGGAAGCAGTTAGGTTAACTGAGGTCACTGAGGTAAAGCCTTCACCCAGTTGGATGTGTCCTTACAGGAAGAGACACCAGAGAGCCCATGCTCCCTCTCCCCGCCATGGGAGGACACCTGGAAAAGGTGGCCATTTAGAACCAAACTGTCCTGGCCCTTGATCTCGGTCTTCCCAGCCTCCAGAGTTAAATTCCTGTTGTTTCAGCCACCCAGCCTGCGGTGTTCTGTTCTAGACACCTGAGCAAACTAAGAGACTTTAAACCCTGCTGGCAGAACAAGCAGACAAAACTATCAGTCAGGACCTAAGTGTCTGAAGAACACAACTGATAGACGTGACCTTAATGGTGTATTGAGAGCTCCATGTCCTCTTACAGGACACACCTTCTTCTCAAAAACTTGCGAACACCACTCAGGTTGTTGAAACCACTCAGGTTGTTCTCTGACCGTGGTGAAATTGAGCTAGAGATTAATAAGGAAAAATAACTAGAAAATCCCATCTTTTGAAATTAAGCCAAAATTTCTAAAAAAAAAAAAAAAAAAAAGCCCATGGGACAACAGAAGAAATTGGAATTGGAATTAGGAAATACCTGAAACCAGGAGACACTAAAAGTGTATCGAGATGAGTTGTTGCAGCTGAAGCAGCTCTGGAGGAAAATTCAAGAGTCGGAAAGGAAAAAGTTAAAAACCAATGATCTAAGCATCTACCTCATGGGGGAAAATTGATCTCAACCCCCTCCCTCACATCAGTGACAGAAACCAAGGCCAGGTGGAGTGCTGATTTATGTGCCAAAGGTAAAAACAATGGAAGCTACGGAAGAGACTTCAGGAGAACAGCTTATAGATCTTGGAATAGGAGAAGATTCCTTAAACAGGACACAGGAGGTGTTACTCATAAGGAAAAATAATGTCAAACTGAACAAAATAAAACTTAAGAAAGACTTCTGTTTATCAAAATACTCCAAAGAGAGGGAAGAAGAAGCCAGAGTAGAAGTTCACAGAACAAATCTTTGAAGGACTCCCAGCCGGATTACATCAAGAACCCCCACAAAATTAATGAGAAACAGACAATCAACCACTACATCCATACACCCACCAGGCCGGTGAAGATGAGAACCCCAGATGACAGCAGGGACTGACATGTGCATCGCAGTGCCCTGCAGGCCTGCCGTATGGACATAAGGCTCTCTGACTGTGAAGGACAATCCGGCCATTCGTACCCGGGTAAGCTCAAGTCCAGGTGTGCCTCCAATAGAAACGTGCACATACATTCATGCTCCAAACACACACCCGCACAGACCCCATTAGCTGAACACGGGGAACAATGCAGCTGTCCAGCAGTGGAGGAAGACCCGCAGAGAGTGGTACATAAGACAGCAGGACACCACACAGCAACATGAAGGCCATGTGTGCACACAACCCACGGACGAGTCTCACAAACATCACGAGAACTGAGGAAGGCAGACACAAAAGGGTACCGTCTTACACTGCACAGGCTGCCACACCAGGCCACCCTGACTGAGCAGCTTCAACATTAACTTATTTCTCATGGTCTGGGACTGGACATACATCAGGGCACAAGCCCATTTGGTGACCCGCTTCCTGGCTCTCAGACGGCCTCCCCCTACTGGGCCCTCACGTGGGGGCAGGGAGAGGTGCCCTCTGGACACTCTCCTAGATGGGCTGATCCCCCACTGATCCCATCGTGGGGGCCTCTCCTTATGGCCTGACCACCTCCCAAAGGCCCTGACCCCTAATATTGTCACTCTGGGGGTTAGTGTCCAACCTATGAATTTTAAGAAGACATAAACTGACTGAATACTCTTTAGAAAATAGACAATTTATAATTCCACTCATATAGCGTTCAAAACCAGGCATACCAATCTACACTGTTAGAGGTTAGGCATAACCCTTGGAGGGTACTGAGTGGAAGGGGCACTTAGGTCCCTAGTGGGTTGAAGTGTCTTGGAGTGAGTGCGAGTTACATGGATGTCCACTCTGTGCAATTTCACCCATCTCAGGGCAACGTGGGTGGTTCAGTCAGTTGAGACTCTGACTCCTGATTTTGGCTCAGGTCAGGATTTCAGAGTTTGTGGGTTCAAGCTCCATGTCTGGCTCCAGGCTGAGGGTACAGAGCCTCACTGGGATTCTCTCCCCCACCCCGCCCCTCCCCTGCTCATGCACTCGCTCTCTCGCTCTCTCTCTCTCAAAAGTAAATACATAAACTTAAGAAAAGAAAGAAATTTCACCCATCTGTACACATGTGACCTATGCAGTGTGGGGTATATACTTTATAGTTCAATAAAAAGCTAATTAAAATTCAAAACAATACACACACAAAAATGTAGACACATACCTACAGGCATGGAAGTTTCTTCATATTAGATGAGAAAAGTTACAAAGCAATGCATATAGCATGATCCCATGCTTGTAAAAAGAACGTGTGTACACAGAAACAGGACACACGCCAACATTCATTTATTTAAAAATATTTATTGAGCACGTGCTATGTGCCAACACATAATTTCTTTGGAAGACATCTCTACAACTGTACTATCCATGCAGAGTCCCGTCACATGCATGGCCACCGGCAGGTCCTGCACGGCCTTGTGCAGTCCCACATTCCGCATGGTGAGGGAGGAACCAGGGCAGCAAAGACACCATGAACACATGATGCGTGAACACTTTCACAGGCGTACAAGGTTGATGTGTGTGTGTGTGTCCTACGAGTTGTGAACTAGACCTAGCTTAGGGACACGGCGCCACCAACTTACCCACAAGCCAGCACTGTGGACACCTGGAAACACAGCCTACTTCTAGAGGACAGACACGGGCAGTGACAGTGGTGAGGGAGTTCCCGCCGAGCCCAAGCACAGCCGTCTGTGAAGGACCCCACGGACAGACTGAAGCCCACAGCTCCGGGGGGTACCCCTGTCAGGCCGAGAGAGCTCACGGCTTTCGCAAGAACATGTGCTCACATCCAAGGACATCCTCATTCACTCAGGCTCATTCCTGCACTATCTGCACGCTGCTTCCCACAGAACTTCAACTGTCATCTCCAGATGGGAAAGACTTTTTCTCCAACCTGAAAAAGAAAACAAATCAATCAAATAATAAATCACTTTAGTCTGATTAACATGCAGGATTTCCTAAAAGTAATTTAATATTGTACAAAAGAATGACATTCAGAGACAGAATTTTTTTTTAATGACAAACGTTAAAATTTTAACATAAAATTATCATAAAACGGAGGGGGGTATGGGCTAAATGGGGAAGGGGCATTAAGGAATCTACTCCCGAATCGTTGTTGTACTATATGCTAACTAACTTGGATGTAAATTTAAAAAATAAGTTAAATTTGAAAAGTTATCATAAAACAAAGCATAAAACAGGTATTAACACATAAAGAGAAGCCATTTGATTTTCTTTTCTGTCCTACATTAACCCTGAGTCTGAGAAGAGAATGCTTTGCTCAGCAGCCTCTGTGAGACACGATGCCAAAGGCCCTGCCAGGCCTCACCGTTTCACTGTGGGAAGGACGGCTCCTCAGGCCTCAAACTGCTGCCACGGTCGGAAGGTGACTCACGCCACACACCTACATCACCCACCACCTGAAGGCCCCCGCAGAGGGTCGGTCCCCAGCCCTGTTTCTCCACCGGGGCCTCCTGGACACAGGAAGGGGTGGCCCTAGCATGGGCTGGGCCTCGGCCCCCACAGACTCACCTTCTGGCACCTCTGTTTCCTGTTCTGCAAATAACAGCATCCACTTCCCCTCAGGAAGGTTAGAAAAGTGACACAGACAGACAAGCCGTGTGGTCTGGCCATTGTGATCACCACAGACCCGTCTCCCAGGACCAGCACCCTAGCACCTGATTTTACAGCCAAATATCTTACTTTCTGTGATGTGGGGTCCTGTGTGGAAGTGACGGACCAGCTCAGCGCCACGGACATGTGCCTCCTCCACACGGGGTTTCTCTGCAACACAACTGAGCCAGTGACCACATCTCCCATGAGGACAGAAACAGGCTCATCCATCATAAACAGCACCTGCTTCCAGTGGGTGGTGCTGCAAGACACAGGGTGTAGGGTCACCTCTCTGGAGCCTGGTTTTTCAGGCTGACCGCAGGACAGACATCCCCCGACTCCACGATCCAGACGGCCTTTATGGGTTGCCAGGATTGAGTTACAACCCAGCCAGGATCCAGCTCCTGGATGCTGCCCAGATTCCAGAAGGGTGAAGGAGGCTTGCCCTGGTGGCCCCAAGGACACACCGGTGGCCAGGCAGAGGGTACCTGGCCCCTTGCACCCTGGCACAGTAGGCATCCACCCAGAGCCCTTTGCTCGGTCTCTAAGCTGCCAGGGCCCGAGTTCTAGTCTGCAGTCCAAATAAGTTGTCATTCCTGTGAGTCAGGCTGAAGGGGAGCATGGCAACTGTAACATTTGGGGGAAATGGTCACACTCCCGAGCTCGTCACTTTCTACCGGCTCTGACAGCATGGCTCAACTGCGCACTGTGGCCTCTGCCAGACGCTGGGCCTGCGCCCCACGGTCACACTCAGGGAGGTCCTGCTCCCTCCTGCCTCAACCACCATGAGGGTCTCTCCCCGGGCTTCAGAGAGCGGATGTCCCAGGCTCTGCGCCCTGCCTGCCCCACACCAGCTGTGTACGGACACGCCAGCGGAAGACTGCCCAGGCACACGACTGTCCACTGGGTTTTTAGTGTTCCTACTCTCATCTGTCCCAGTAGGATCTAGAAGGAAAGCTGATGGAGCCCTGGACCTCCACAGGACACTGTGGCCAAACAGCTCCTCAGCCCTGCTCCCATGTTACAGGAGGACAGCTAGGGTCCCTCTGGGAGCACTGCCACAGCCAGCATCTAACCCCTGGTCCAGGGCAGTTACTGAACAGGGGCTACAAAGGCCCCAGTTGAAGGCAGCATTTCCACGGGGGCTGCTGTGTCCAGCACTGAAGCAGATGACATCAGCTTCCCAGGACGCACAAGCAAGTGTGCATCATTACTGCACACAAAATTTTCCTCAAGAAACACTGACCTTCCCCAAGAGTCTGAGTCAAAAGCCCCTAGAATTCTGTTGACCGTGTTTGTGTTAGACCACAGAAAGCAGAAGCAGCGTCCAGAGCAACTGAGGAAGATGAAGTCTGCTCCTCCTCTTCATGCAGGGGTCAGAGGGCAGCCTAGGGAGCCCAGTGCAGGGGCAGGTGGGGCACAGCCTTGACTTGCCCACCGCGTGCACACCGCGCTCCACGCCTGGGGTAGCCTGGTCTGGAGAGAGTCTAGGTCAACAACCCAGTATTGACAGATCTCTAAATCCGTGACTCTGCCATGTGGTTGTCATACCGACAACCTGAAGGCAGGTGAACCGCCCCAGCTCTTCCAAGGGCTGTGGAGCTCCCCACGGGAGGTGCACACTCACGGGTGGAACGGGCCTGTGCTCAGCACCAGCTGTGGCTCGTCCTCCTCCAGGCTCTGAAACCGAACACTGAACCAGGCTGTAAATCCATGCAGCGTGCCAGCTTTCCTGATCTCAAAGTGCAGCTCGCCTTTCATTGTCTGTGTTCAAGCAGACGATAAAAGAGGGACACGGTTCGGTAAGCATGTGACACCACGCCACAAGGGCTCTCTCTGTGTGAGCAAGAATTAGCAACTCACTTCACGAATCCCACAACACTGCACTGCGGTAGGCAGCCCTACCACCCGTTTCAGTCATTCTGAATCTGTAACTTGCTAGTTTGGCTCAACATATCAAAAACCACATAAAATTTCCTCCTCAGGAAAGGATTAAAACTTGCATCATAAATTCAAGTGCTGCAGGTAATCACAAAAGGTTTCAAGCAATTTGGGCCTCACGTGCCTAATTTTCTGCCCCCAAATTTGAGTGCAATACTTTTTCTTCTCAATTCTTTGCATAGGTAGAAAGTTCCAGGCTGAGTCTCTATACTGCAAAACTAACTGCAGACTCAACAGTTCAGTCCCCACATTGTTTGGCCCATCTGAGCTCCCGCACGTCACAGCGCACCCTTAAAACGAGACATCCTGAATCCACAAATGCCACCCTGTGGCAACACAGGGTAAGTGAAAGTGTAAAGAATTTTGTCATCAACAGTAGCTAAAAAAACTTAGAAAAAAATTTAAATTCAAAGTCCATGATAAAATTGGATAAAATTAGAATCTGAAGATACTGAAAATATTGTATGTGAATATAAAGATAGCTCATGATGTTAAAGAGGTTAACTATAAAGAAAATAATATAAAAATATAAAATACAAAATCAGAACGTAAAGAAAAGAGACTGGAAAAATCAAAGGCAAAGTTCATGAATTCATTTATCTGCACAGCAAGTTCTGGGGTGTGTGCATCGCCTACATAATGTGAGAGGGAAGACTCATCTCTCACCTCTAGGTCCGCAATCTGCACAGTTCTCATGTCCAACTGTAATATTGTGCATGGTTCAGAGAGACAGTCTTCTGGTTTCAAAATGTGGTTATACTTGGGCTTCGAAAAAAACTCCTTAATTGCTAAAGATCTAGGGAAAAAGTCAAAGGAACCGCTCAGAGTCGGGTACCAGCATCTCGGGCTTTGACACACACATTCATGACAACGGTTCTCGCTTTTTCTCTTCAGCATCAGCAGGAATTCCCAGCCACCACCTGCGGCGAGGGCACTGAGGCAGGGCTGGGAGTCCCTGCAGGTGGACCGGCAAGTGTGCAAGCAACGTGAGCACTTCCCGCCTACATCCTATTCCTGGGGCCTGCACACGTGGAAACCAACCTCTACCACACACAGCAGGGCCCTGACCCAGTCTGCTCTGCGCAGTTGTGGTTTCAGTGACCGCAGTCCAAGAGGTGACCCCTCCCCCCCCACTCCTGACAGGTCGACAGAAGGTCAGCAGGAGCCTGACGCTACCTCACAAGGCCTCCGTCACTCACCTGACTTCACCTCCTCACGCAGGCACTTCATCTCATGGCATAAGAAGGGTGAGTACAGGATAGTAAGATATCCCACAGCAGATAAAACAGACATTCCTGTTCTAAGTCACTCTGCAATAAAGGCCTGCAGGTGCCCCCTGGAGAAGGGCTTGTGCTGCGTCAGTTAAACAAGACACAAGCGCTGGGCCTCCTGCAGGGTCATCTTCTTGTCGCCCAACAGCCCACCCACTCCACTGGCTGACTGCCAGACTTGCCCAAAGTAACCTACTATATACCACGGAAACGTTTCAAAACTTAAGTGCAGCAGTGACTTCTGAAATAGCAAATAAAGGTAAACATTTTAATAAAGACTCCACAATATGTACATATTTTTAATATCTTTCTGCTGATAAAATAGTTATGCATTTATAACGAATTGGGAACACATAGAAAAGTATAAAGAAAAAATGTGAGGGGCACCTGGGTGGCTCAGTTGGTTAAGCATCCAATTTCAACTCAGGTCATGGTCTTAAGGTTCATGGGTTCGAGCCCCGCATCAGGCTCTGTGCTGACAGCTCAGAGCCTGGAGCCTGCTTCAGATTCTGTGTCTCCCTCTCTCTCTCTCTGTCCCTCCCCGACTTGTGCTCTGTGTCTCTCAAAAGTAAATAAACACAAAAAAAATTTTTTTAAAGAAGAAACTTGAATCTGTGGAACTTGAAAACTGTACCTTGGTACCTTGATCTATTTAGTCATTTTCTCCCCCAGAGATACATTTATACATGTTCTTATGCAAAGCGGAAACCATTTTATACACATGGTTTGTGTCCCACCAGTTTTACCATCTATTCATCCATCTGATGGATACGTAGCAATTTAACCACATTCTTACGGATGACTGCCTGTTTCCCACACTGTGTGCACAGCAGCGTGCCATGGCCCTGGGGCAGAGGGCGATGGGGGTGGATGCCAGCCACACCCACAGCTCTGGCCACACGGCCTCGTCTCCCCGCCATCACACCTGCAGCTCAGGCAGCAAGAACCGCTGTTTTAATTTAATCTTTGCGCATCTGGTAGGCAAAAATGGCATTTCATTTTAATTTGCATTTTAACCACTAACGATCCTGCAATTTTTTCCAAATATTTATCAGTAATTTTTATTTGGTTTTTGTGACTTGCGTATTTCCATGACTTGACTATAATTTCACTGGATACTCATCTTTTCTAAATGACTCTAGGATCTGTCAGCTAGTAACTTTCTCTAAGTAGTCACTGCCTTTTTAAATTGTATTTATGCTGATGATATACAGATGCTGTCAATTTTTACAGACTGATGTCCAGTGCCTCCTTGTTCCTGTTGACTTTCTAAGACCTGACACATAGGGACCCACGGATTCCTACAGCTGATGCGATGTTTTACCACAAAACTCTTAAATCCATGTGGAATTAAATTTCAGTGTGTGGTATGAGGAGAAAAGAAGTTTCAAGGGGCTCTTCTATGGTCCCACGACACTTTGCCACCTCTGCCCCTCACACCCCAACTTTCCCCACATGTTGTGTGTGTGTCCATCCTGGTCCATTGCTCTGTCTTTTCTGGTCTCAGGAGTACCCTGCCCTCACGCCTGTCTCTGTAGCTTAGATGTTAATATCTGGCAGCTCTTCACGGCTCTATTTTAATTCTCCCCGGCCCTTCCTACCCACTTCTCCCTAGATGAACTACAGAACGGCTCTGCCGGGGACATTTCCTCTCCATCCCTTTTGGGATTTGGGTTGAGAGTACAATGGTTCAACATGTTAACTGGGGCAGACTTCTTACCCTTGCATTATTCTTTCTTTTTTTGAATTAACAAAAACCAAAAACGCCCAAGGCCACCATCTTGCTGTCAACTGCCCAAGTGGGCATCAAGCAGGTGTCCGGGCTCACCTGGCACTCACCGCATAAGCTAAATTTCCTGCAGTTTCTGACAAGTGGGCCCCCCAACCTAACTTCCAGGGCTGCTGCTGGTTTCTCCTAACTCCCACGGCACACTCAGAAGGGGAAGCAGCCAGCTTCTGTCACCATCCTTCTTAGAAGAGGCAACATTTAAAACGTGAAGGACCTATCAGGAAATCATTTTATAGTTAAACCTGATGCTCAACTATACAAGTGCATCCATAATATAAAATTAGGAAATCAACTATTCTGCAGCATCGTTTCCTTTGCAAACTGTCAGGAATGACTTCATAATAAATTTTCTGATCCCTTAAAAGTTTACAGCTCGTAGTAGGAAGATCTATTTGTATGCTAACGGCCCACATATTTATAAAGGGCCTTGGTTTTAAACATGACCATGTTTTTCCCATTACATTTGAGAACTTAGATGGCAAAAGACATTTCAATTCCCATCACATCTGCTACCAGTTTAAAGGCCTGAAAGACACGTGCAAAATTCCAAGGCATGTGAGTGAATTCAGATCAGTCTCATGGCATGCTCTACCACCACCGAGTTATGCGGTCTTAGGAAGCCCGCAGCTCGCACAGCCAGAAGGCCCCGGAATACGTCTGCGCTCCCAGCAGCACACACTCACTTGAGAGCACTGAGGTTGAACTCGTAGGCGTTGTCCCAGAAGAGGACCTTGCTGCGGTAGTCTCTGTCGGCGCTGCAGGGCACCAGGTGCAGCGCGGCCGTGGTCGGCCAGATGACCCCGTCCTCCTTCAGCCACACGTCCCGGGCGTACAGGATCGACTCAATCATGAACTCAAACTGCACAGCAGGGAGACACACGGGGGACATGGTGACCGAGGCCTGTGTCTGTGATGCGTAGTCTGGGAGGATTTATCTTGTACCCACACCAGTGACATCACAGATTCCCACCACAGCCTGGGGTGGAGTGACACCGGTTCACTTTAGAATGAATTCAGAACTGGGCCCCGCCGACAGGAAAGATCTTCACTCTTGCCATCTCCCTCAGTATTACAGAGTTTTAACTGTCAACCCCTATAAATTTGGTCTGGAGGATTCTCAGAATTTTCATAACCTTGGAAGTTGACCAAAACCACTTCTTAAAAACATGGAACATTAAAGGAGGAGTGCCACGGATCCCTGAGGATGCACCCGGACAGGTGGCATGTGACGCCTGTGACAGAGAACAGGGGCCGCTAAAGCCCCAAGAGGCCAGCCTTTGTGTCTGAACCAAAGAGTGAAGCACAGGCCAGGGGCACATCATCCTGCAGCTGAAGGGAAGCCCCAGAAGGGTTTTGTTTTATTTAAATAACTTCAGGCATTATTACTATAGAAGCAATAGTATGTTCAGTATGGAAAAATTTAGAAAGTTCAGAAAAGCACAAACAAAAATAAAAGTCATGAGTAAACCCAGCGCCCAAAAGGAACCAATGTTTGCCTGGTGGTTTATGCTCAAGGCCTTCTCCTCACATACACATACATGCACACGTGTGAAAATTATATACAGATCATTTTAATTGTATTTTTAAAAATTACCAATAGTAAATCAGTTACTCCATAAATTTTAACACTTGTATGGATCTGTGTAACCATAGCCACAATCGGGATACAGAACAATCCCATTACCCCAAAACACTCCTCATGATATCCTCTGTGGTCACTTCCTCCCACCACCTCCAACCTTTGGAAACCACTAACTGGCCTCTATCCCTGTGGTTTTGTCTTTTTGAGAAAGACATACAAATGGTATCATACAGTACATAATCTTTTGAGACTGGCTTCTTTCACTCATAATATCAACTTTTTCATATGCTAAAAGGTTCTCTTCTGTGCCTTCTATCCTGTTCTGTTCATCTGTCTTTTCTTATTATAATACCACACTGTTCTAATTACTATATATAACTTTAATTACCCCAGTATAATGTCTCTGGGGTTTATCCATTTGTGCATCAATAGTTCATTCTCTTAGGTTTATTTATTTGGAGAGAGAGAGGGAGAACATGCACGTATAAGTGGGGGAGGGACAGAGAGAGAGAGAGAGAGAGAGAGAGAGAGAGAATCCTAAGCAGGCTCCATGCCCAGTTCAGAGCCCAACACGGAACTTGATCTCACAAACTGCCAGATCATGACCTGAGCCAAAGTCAAGGGTCAGATGCTTTACCAACTGAACCACCCAAGCGCCCAATAGTTCATTCTTTACTGACCAGTAGGACCCCATTGTGCGAATGTAGACAGCTGTTTATCTAACCACCTGTTGAAGAACACTTAGGTTGTTTCCAGCTTTTTGGCAATTGTAATTAGAGCCAGTACAACCATTCACATACAGGTTTCCGTGTAAACACAGCTTGTGCTTCTCCAGTGTAAATACCCAGACGTATAAGTGCTGGGTCATACGGTAAGTGTACCTATAACTTTATAAGAAACTGCCAAACCGTCTTCTAGGGCGGCTGTGTGATTCCTATGAGTTTTAGTCACTCCATAGCACCTGGTATTATTGTTTAAAAGTTTAGCCATTTCAACAGGTGTGTAGGGTTACCTCATTATGGTTTCAGTTTATATTTCCCTGATGGCTAACAAGGTTTAATGTCTTTTCACATGCTTCTCATCCATATATCCACGTTGGTAAAGTATCTGCTTGAGTCGTTTGCCCATTTTTCAATTAGGTTGTTGACCTTCTTCCTGTTGAATTTTGAGGATATTCAGGATACACATTAGAATGTGTATATTTTGTATATATAATTTGTATATTCAGGATACACATTAGATATGTGATTTGCAAATATTTTCTCCTAATCTTACTATATCTTTAACACTGTCTTTTAACATTTTCTTAACATAGACACCTTTAATTTTGATGAAGTCTGGCATATCAATTTTTTCCTTAATGGATCGTGCTTTAAGAATCAACTAAAAACTCTTTCCCTAACCCATGAAGATTTTCTCCCAAGATTTCTTCTGAAAGTTTACAGTTTTAGTCTATGCAATTAGATCTAGAATCAATTTTGACTTCATTTTTGGTAGAAGGTATAAGCCTTGAATTTCTTTTTTTCCCTTCTTTTTTTTTTTTTTTTGGCATATGGATGGCCAACTATGCCAATATCTTCTGTTGGAAAGACTGTATCTTTTCTTCACTATATTGATTTCGCTCCCCTGTTAGAAATCAACTGACTGTATTTTTAGGAATCTATTTCTCTATTTTGTTCCATTGACTTATGTATCTATCCTTCTAGCAATACCAAACTGTCTTGACTACTATAGCTTTATGCCAAGTCTTCAAATCAGGTATGTAATTCTTCCAATTTTATTCTTCTTTTAAAAACTGTATCCACTATTCTATTTTCTTTACTTTTCACAAAAATTTTACAATGAGCTGGTCATATCCACAAAAGAAATCCTGCTTAGACTTTGATTGGAATTATATTAAATCTACAGATCAGTTTGAGAAGAGGTATCTTTACTATGTTGTCTTCCAGTCCATGAGCACCTTGCCTTTCCATTTATTTGGGTTTTCTGTGACTTCATTCATCAGCATCTTCTAGTTCTTCACATACAAAACTTGGACATGTTTTGTTACCTAAGTATTTCATGTTTTGGGGGCTTTGTAAATGCTATTGTACATTGTTAGCATACGAAAATATGACTGCCTTCAAAAAATAAATTAAAAAACTAAAACTGGCTTTTGTATGTTCATTTTGATCACTCTGTGATCTTAACTTGCCTTTCAGTTCAAAGAAATTTAGGGGGAGATTCTTTGGGACTTTCTACAAAAACAATCATGTGGTCTGGAAACAGGGATGGTTTATTTCTTTGTTTTAAATCTGTGTGCCTTTTATTTCTTCTTTCATTTTTGCACTGGTTAGGATTGCCAGCACAGTGTTGAACAGGAATTGCAGAGTAGCCATCCTACCTCTTCCTCCTCTTAGGAGGAAGGCACTGATTCTCTCACCATTAGGCGGCTATAGGTGTTTTTTTGTTTCGTTTTTTTTTTATAGATGCCCTTTATCAGGTTGAGTAAATTCCTTTCTATTCCAAGTTTGTTGAGAATTTAATTATGAACTCAAGCTGAATTTTCCAGCACAGCATATAAGAAGCTTAGAAGCTGCCATTCTGCCCTAACAAGTAAAAAGCAAATGAAAAATCCACAATTCTTCTTAGATATGTATGAGATATTAGGTCACAGAGCAATCTGCTCCCTCCAAAATCAGAGTAATCAACAAGCTTACACAGAAAATCACAAATTACTAGAGCAGAACCCTAACTCCTGGAACAACACGAACAACAATGATGAACTGCTGGAGGCTCAGTGTAGACAACTCTGAGTGTTACAAACTCCAGGTGGGCTAAGTCATAAGGGGACCCCCACATGTTAGTGAGTTTTCCCTCCTGGACCTCCACCAGGTTCCACAGCAACCAGAGAAAAATCCCCTCATGCTTCTGACAGAGCAGAGGGAAAAAAACCATTTTGAAACATGCCAGAGTATTCTGTTCTTCTTAACAGGATCTGCTCTCTGGAGAAACCAGCCAATCAGAGCCTAGCCTAACTGAGCTGGGAAAAGGGCAATATTCAACTCCAGACCCCTCTAGCCATCGTGTCCCACCCAAAAGTCAGAAAAGAAATTGAGAAATTTTGTGAAGCTCACAGTCTAGAAACACAAGTTCACTAAAAGACTGAGACCTAACAGGACCACAGAATGCTTCTGCTTCCCCCACACCTCACCACATTACTAAAGGCCTATTTATAGCTATTCCCTTACCCAACACATCACACAAGGCTATCAATAAAAAAATTACAAGGTTGGGGTGCCTGGGTGGCTCAGCTGGTTAAGCATTCGCTTTCAGCTCAGGTCATGATCTCTTGGTTTTCCTGCATTGGGCTCGGTGCTGACAGCTCAGAGCCTGGAGCCTGCTTTAGATTCTGTGTCTCCCTCTCTCTCTGCCCTTCCCCTGCTCGTGCCCTGTCTCTCTCCCTCAAAATAAATACACATAAAAAAAAATTCAAATAAAATTACAAGGCAAACAACAATTTGAAGAGACATAACAAGCATCAGAAGCAGACTCAGATATAGTAGGGATGTTGGCATCATCAGGCTGAGAATTTAACACAACTATGATTAACATGCTAAGAGTTCTAATGGATAAAGTAGAAAGAATGCCAGAACAGATGGGCAATGTAAACAGAGAAATCAAAATCTTAAGAGAGACCCAAGAAATGTTCAAAGTAAAAAAAAAAAAAATACTGTAACAGAAATGAAGAATGCCTTTGTTAGGCTTAGTGGGAAACAAGGCATGTCTGAGGAAAGAATCTCTGAGCTTGAAGATATGAGAACAGTAACCTCCCAAACTGAAAAGCAAAGAGAACGAAGACAACAAACAAACAAACAAACAAACAAAAACACAGAACACAATATCCAAGGTCTGTAAGACAACTACAAGGGGTGTAACATACACAAAATGAGAATACTAGAAGGAGAAGAAAGAGAAAGGAACAGAAGAAATATTTGAAGCAATAATGACCGAGAACGTCCTCAAATTAATGTCAGATAGCAACCCACTGATCCAGGAAACTCAGATTACACTAAGCAGGATAAATGCTTAAAAACAATATACCTAAGGGGTACCTGGGTGGCTCAGTCCATTGAGCATTCAACTCTTGATTTTGGCTCAGGTCATAACTTCACGAGATCAAGGCCTGCCTGGGATTCTCCCTCTCCCTCTCTCTGCCCATCCCTTGCTCATGCTTGCTCGTTCTCTCTCAAAATAAATTAATGAAAACTTTTAAAAATTAAAAAAAAAACAACAAC